TTGTTTTTGGATTTGTTGCTTCCCACCATATTACGTTTCATATTTATTTGATTATTGTGATTCGCTCTTAGTATTACGTCATAATATTATTGGTTGTCAATAGCTAGCTCTCAATCCCGTTGGTGATCTCGGATTATCTCGTCTTCCATGAATAATACACAATAGACAACCGACAGTATACAATGCTCGTGGATACTTTTGTTTTCCAATTGATGAGAGCCGCTGGATTTTGATACTTTGTCACAACGTTATTAGTTCTCAATGATTGAATCTCAAATCTCGTTTGTTATCTCGTCTTCAATGTACAGACACAATTGACAATAGACTATATTCCTGGTTACTCTTATTCTCCATTTGAGGACTGTCGCTCACTTTTAATGCTTTGATGTTATTGATAGTTAATGGCTGCCTCTCAGTTCGCATTGGTGGTCATGTACTATCTTGTCTTGAATGTATAATACACAATTGACAATGCACAGTATTCTTATTTGCCATTTGAGAACTGTCGCTCGTTCTTGATACATCGTCACAATGTGACTGGCTGTCAATCGCTGGCTCTTAAATCTCGTTGGTGATCTCGTATTATCTCGTATTTTATGTATAACATATAATCTAAGTTATGATATCAGTTGCTTAACCAGTAATTGTAAGGAAAGCAATATTTCAACATGATATGGCCATAAACCGCTATTTACATTCTGACTATTGTCGCCATCATATTTTCTGTCTTTAAAAAAACTTTCAAAGTCTTAATAAATCTTTATTATCTTTAAAAATTTTACTATCCAAAAAAATGTTTCCTGGGTTTAATAATAATAATGTAAATGAAATTGTCTAGGTAATAATAATAATAATAATAATAATAATAATAAAATAAAATTAATAAAATTTAAAATTTCCAGCGTCACTGGTTCGAGCGTATGTAGTCGCACTAGCATAAAAAATTCAGTCCGATATATATATATATATATATATATATATATATATATATATATATATATATATATACGAAAAATTGTATGAGAATAGTGAAAATATATTTGACGTGTTTCGTCGTTTAGGACATTATCGTACTAAATTATTTATGCTTCTTTTTTGAATTTGTAGGTCTGATGAATTGGATCGTGATTACGATCCAATGTAATAAATTATAACAATGGAATATTAGTGATTGAGCCTTTTATATTATATTCTTGCTCTGTCCTGGACATTCAGCTCTACCTGGATTCTATCCTTTTGAAATTCTATATATATTATATATATATATATATATATATATATATATATATATATATATATAAATCTCCATATATATATATATATATATATATATATAGTTTATGCAAAACTAGGTAATCCGTATGGGTAGACCCAAGGAGGATGATATCCAGAGAGCTCAATGTAAATTCAGAGCAAATATGTTTGAATAAAACAGACCACTTTAAGGTTCCATGTAATAAGTTATTTCACCATAACCCTTTTAAATGGCTCTGGATCATCAGACTTTACTTCCAAAAGTTGAAATGAAACTAAAATAATTTTTCATTTCAACTTTGGAAGTAAAGTCTGATGATCAGAGCCCTTAAAAAGGGTTGTGGTGAAATAACTTATTACATGGAACCTTAAAGTGGTCTGTTTTTAAATATATATATATATATATATATATATATATATATATATATATATATATATAGTTAAACCTAGAGAGCCAGACAAACCTACCAAGGTTTCACCTAAGCGGATTGTTAGGGAATGCGGGCTTTTTATACCTTTTTTCCCTTTGGTATTAGCTTGTTTATTTGCAAATCAACAAACTGAAGGTTTTTTCAAGCGAGTATAGTTTCTTATACTTTTAAGTTTTCTATTAATATATATATATATATATATATATATATATATATATATATATATATTGACTACTATATATATATATATATATATATATATATATATATATATATATATATATATATATATATATATATATAATAGTCCAAGTGGTTAGAAAGTTCATTTTCTGACAATGAGACCCGGGTTCGAATTTCACCACGATTGATTTGTCAGGAAGGAGGCTTCTTGAAGTTATCGGTCTGGAGAGGAACGATCCCAGCGTGCGGCACCTTCGGAAAATGCCTTAAATCCATACCACGCCTTGTGAGTGAAATTGGTTACACGGGACACTTGGGGGCCGTTGATAGCTGTGCTGCACGAAGTCACAAGTAGAGGGTTATGAGTGTGTTGGCGTTGTTCATATTGTTGATCATGTTAGATAACACGCTCTCTCCCAGAAACTTTAACTAAGGTCTACTCAGCATAGTTGCAGTATAAACCACAGGTTGGCTCTGTGGGTGTTGAACAGACTACAATTCTCCATAAAAACAGTGAACTCAACCGAAACTCTTCTCTGTAGCGAAATCGGTAAACGCACGGCAGGCTATATGTATAGGATACAGGTTCGATTCTTGTCGGAGGACGCGTATTTTCTTGGACATTCAGGTCGTTAATACTGTTTATTATAAACAGAGCATTTACTTAAATATTTGTATCTCTAAATAAAAGAACGTATAAATATAAAAAACGTCTTGAAATAATTTTCGGACTTTGTCCATTTCATAATATGTAACATCTCTCTCTCTCTATATATATATATATATGTAAAATAATAAAGTTTTTTCTGTGTATGTGTGTTCAAATGGAGCGTTATATGAACGGTCGTAATCCACCTGCGTCGAGATGCCAGACGATTTCAATTAATTTTTTTTTATTATCCCGAAAGTATTTGCGAAAATATATTCTAAAATTAATCAGAAATTAATTGAAGGAAGTAATTAAACTGATTGGTGTAAATGAAGGAGGGGTGTCTATTCTATAACGAGACAGATTGCAAAATCACAACAATTCTTAAAGGCAATTTCCTCTTCGCAATCGATCGAAATCCGGAATTATCTCGTCAGATTCGCTTATTGAATTGTTAGAAATTTTAAATAAGTAAGTATCTGTGTGTATCGATTCGCGTGTGTTCGTCCACACACACACACAATGTATATTTTTGCCACAATACAATATATATAATTGTATTATTTCTATAATTTTCTATTCTTATAAACTTCATTTATCGCTTTCTTTCATGATTATTTTATTTGTTTATCTACCCTTTCTTCTTCATTCTTTCATTGCATTTCTTTCTTACGTTCAAACCTTTTATCCTTTTTATTTATATTTTCTTTCTTTTTGCTTTTCTTTCGTCCATACTTATTTTTCTTTCTTTCTTTCTTTCCTCTCTTCTTTCATCCTTTAAATTTTATTCATTTTTCTTTCTTTTCTTAATTTTTTTCAGTCAATATCGTTCATTATCTCCCTTTTCTATTTTCTTTCTTTCTTTCTTTCATTCATTCATTCATTCTTTCTTTCTTTCTTTCTTTCTTTCTTTCGTTATTTCCTTTTATCATTTTTTTATTTATATTTTATTTCTTTTCGATATTCTTTCATTTTTTTTCATATCTATTTTTCTTTCATTTCTTCTATCATTTGATTTTTATTTATTCTCTTTTATTCATTCATTTTTTTTCAATGAATATATTTCATTATTTCCTTTTTCTTGTTTTTTCTTCTTACATTTATTTTTTCTTCGTTTTTCATTCATTTATTCATACTTTTATTCTTTCTTTCATTCATTTCTTTAGCTTTCTTCATGTGTTACTAACATTACCTTTCATTTTCTTCACTATATTATGTATATCTAATACATTTACGTAGAATCACACACACCTGCGCGCGCGCGTGTGTGTGTGTGTGTGTAAGTGTTTTAGTTACCCCACCCCCACACCTTATATGTATCTGGTTCACGCAGCCGCCGTTAAGTGTCATTTATTAAACAGCTATAAAAACGGAACACCTTGTCTCCGTCTCTTTTCCTCCGAGTAAGCGCCAAAAGTAACAGCAGCTTTTCTTTTTCATTTGCCGTGTCCCTTCAGGACCTAGGCGATCATGGCTCTCCACTTCCCACTATCCCTTGTGGCTCTCAATAAATTTTGTCTCTTTGCTACTTCCACCCAGGCCATGTTCTGTCATCCACCTGCTTAAGTCATGCGTTGCTTTACCTTGTCTCTCATTTCCCCTGTCCGCCCTGTGAGCATCAATATTCTCCAAGCCCTCCTTCCTCATTACGTGTCCCAGAAATGTCAGCTGCCTCTTCCTGCTGTTAAGTATAAGCTTCTTCCTTGTTTGCACTCTCTCCAAAACGTCATTGTTGCTGACACGCTCAGACCATACTACCCTTAGCATCCTTCTGTAGAACCATACCTCCGTGCCTCGAGGACATTCGTTGTCACATATGTCAGTTCAGTACTCTTTTTCTTTGTTAACAAAGAAATCATCTTGTCTCGTAATACTCTGCCTAGCTTTTGGAATGTGTCTTTGGCCATCGCAATACCTCTTCGGATCTCATGGTCGCGCTTACCGTCCTCTGTCAAAACACTTCCCAGATATTTAAATTTCCGTACCTGCTTGATTTTACCAGCACGGGACTTGGTTGATTGACTCGTTTGACTAAAGGCTTATCAAGGATTTGCAATGACCATGACAGTCAAAAGCACTCGAATGTAACAAAAAAAAAAAAAAGAATTTGCACAATTTATTAATAATTTTATTCTCGATATAAAATACCTCAATCAGAAATTGTAGAGACAATATACACATTTTAATAGACGTTGTCGATTTGATTGATTCGCTCGTTTTTTACGGTTTATCAACCCTTTGCAAGTTATTTACAGCCGAAAAATTATTTTTAGAATCTAATGGTTTTTTGGCAGATAATAATGATTTAGTAATACAAATCTTCGTAATTACACCTTAGCTGAGGGTAGAAAAAGAGAATTCATAACTTCACCCAAATGTATTGGAGTGTAAATAAATATAACGATCACAACAGGAATTGAAACATGGCCCTTCGATTAAAAATTCCCAACCATTATCCATTACACCACCTGCACATATATATTTACAGCATCTGGCATTCACAAGTGAATATCCATCTAGGTACTGACCTGGCTCGACGTTGCTTAACTCCAGTGATCGTACTGGAACAGGTGTTTCATCGTGTTAGATATCATTCCTCTGAGTGAAGTATACACACACACACACACACACACACACACACACACACACACACACACACACACACACACACACATATATATATATATATATATATATATATATATATATATTATTTTAGGAATACAACACAAACATGTAAAAAAAACGCTACACAAATGCAATCATGTTTGGACGTGTATTGACACATCAGGTGGTTTGTTAATGATTGGTTAGTAGATAATTTTTCTAAAATATATATATATATATATATATATATATATATATATATATATATATATATGTATGTATGTATATACACTATCCAACATTGTTCGCTTGATTCGATATATATATATATATATATATATATATATATATATATATATATATATATATATATATATATTAAAAGTATATAATAGATTAATACAGAACGAATGTCCCAAAATAATGCCTTTGAGCAAATATATTCATTACTAACTTAAACTGATTCGTGACAGATATTAAATTACTTTTACTCAGAATTCAACATTGAAATCGTAATTGAAATGTTATTTTAAAACATAAAACATAAGAATATAACGAAATAGTTCAGATCATTAATTAATGCTAAAATGATTTCCAAACTCCGAGGTCTGATCAAAAAGTATCGGGACTGTTTCTATGGTAACGGAGTATGTAGAATCAAGCCGCTTGGCAGAGTGTGACCTTGAACTCTGACGATCATCCACTAGATTATAATCTTCTTCACTTCTCTTGTTCAAAGTAGTGCTCGGAAGGAAAACGTGCAGAGTGTGGTCGTCTCAAAACCATCAGTGAACATGACTTGTGCAGCAGTTCGGGAGCAAACATAATATTTGTTAAGTCAGACGACCACCATATTCTCTAGATCTCGCCCTCTGCTACTTTTTTCCGCTTTCCAAAAATTGAATCCTGCATGAAAGGAACAAAATTTGAAGACGCCGTGGAAATCCAAAAGAATACGACGAGGTATTCTTCCCGCTATCCCAAATAATGAAGTTCCACGAATTCTTCCATCAGTGGAAACGACACTAGATAAAGTGTGTGGCTTTAGAAGGGAACTACTTCGAAGGAGATTAAATATCGAATTAATATCTATTGTAGTTTCCTTTTTATAGCGGATACTTTTTTATCAGAAGTCATATTTATTGTTTCTCGAATGGATAAAAGTTATAAGATTATTTTGCTTTTCTCTATGTAGGAATCTTATCCTTAGCAAAAATGGACTAGACTCAACAATTTGCCCAACCGATATTACGGATGTCTGTCACCAATATTGCTTAGTGATTTTATGTCTTAATTGTTTTTTTCTTTCTTTTGTTTTTTTTCTTTATTTTATGGCTGATTATTTGCTTGCATCTTCTCATCCTTCAATATTCTTTCTTTCTTTCTTTCTTTTATTCTTTCTTTCTTTTATGTTTGATTATTTGCTTGCATTTTCTCATCCTCCATCTTTCTTTCTTTTTTCTTTCTTTCTTTCTTTTATATTTGATTATTTGCTTGAATCTTCTCAGTCCACATTATTCTTTCTTTCTTTCTTTCTTTCTTTCTTTTCTTTCCTCCTTTTTTCTTTATTTTATGGCTGGTTATTTGCTTGCATCTTCTCATCCTCCAATATTCTTTCTTTCTTTCTTTCTTTCTTTCTTTCTTTTATTCTTTCTTTCTTTCTTTTACGTGTGATTATTTACTTGCATCTTTTCATACTCCATTATTTTTTCTTTCTTTCTTTTTTCTTTCTTTCTGTCTTTATTTATTTTTTTATTTATCTATTTATCATGGCTGGTTATTTCCTTGTATCTTATCTCACACGACCACATTTCTTTCTTTTTTTTCTTTCTTTCTTTCTTTCTTTCTTTCTTTCGTTCGTTCGTTCTTGTTTTCTTTTTTCATAGCTTTTTATTTGCTTGTATCGTCTCTTTCACAACCATCTTTCTTTCTTTTTTCTTTCTTTCTTTCTTTCTTTCTTTATTTCTTTCTTCTTCTCTCTCTTTCTTTCTTTCTTTGTTTTTTGGTGGTTGTTTAATTGTTTGTATCTTACCTGCCTCTATTATTCATTCTTCCTTTCTTTTTTTATAGATTTTTTTATTTGCTTGTAACTTCACTTTCACTTTCACTTCATTTCTTTGCTTTTTTTCTTGTTTGCGGTTGTTTCTTTGTATCCCGCCTCTCCCTATAATTTTTCTTTTTTCATGGTTATTCATTTGCTTGTAACTTTTCTCTTATAACGATCTTTCTTTCTTTCTTTCTTTTATTTTTATCATTGTTTATTTGATTGTGTCTTGCCTCCCTCTATTATATTTTATTTCTCTTGTTTTTATTCATGCTGTCAATTAACTATACATAAGCTTATATTTAATATCCTTATAATCGCAACAGCCTCTCAACAATTACAGAAATTAATATCCGAACGTAACAATGATATTTTATTTCCTAATAAATTCCTAGAAGGAATTTTAATAACAGCAATTATAAAATTTGAAAAAGAATCAAGAAAGAGAAGACAGGTCACTATTAAAGGTGTGTCGTCTTTGTACGTTAGGCACTAGAAATCCACAGCTAACTGTTTAATTAAAATCATGAGACAAAAATTATATTGAGGTTTAGATGTGTTAATTTAATAGAATTTCAATTATTGTTGGTTATTTTTAAAGCTGCATATAAATCTTATAGGTAACGAATCTCAATGAATTAACAGGTAGGTAGATATACACACTTGTGCGAATTAATTGAAAGAGCCGCTTTAGTTTTCCTTTCTTTCACCATACGGTCAGTTTTAGACCAACTGGAGTGACAGGGTGTAATCGATTTTTATATTTTTCCTCAGATTAGGTCATTTGCAGTGCTGTGCAGTAATATGAATATATTTTCGGGGTGTATGTTAAAATTTGTTTGGCCTTGAAAAATATTACGTCATCCGTGATTGCATCAGATTTGCATCACGCCCAGGCACTATTGTCTCGACTGTCGATTAGTTGCCCGACGGCCATTGTCTGCAATGAACTTTATTCCAAGGAAGCGTACGAGAATTGTAACGCTGTACGAATACAATGGCAAGACTTACCAGTGAGCAAATCTAAGTACAATTGACTGGCTAGGAAACTCTCCTGATTTAAAATACAATCAAAACTCTGTGGCCAATCTGCAAGGAAAGGCTTCGTGGAATGGGAACACGGAGTACTAAAATGTGCAGTGGATCATGTTTCATTAGAAAAATACGAAAAAAGTGTAAATAATTAACGCAGTTACTCCTTTTATTTCAATTAATTTGCACAAGGAAGTAGGTCTTGCTTGCAATAGAGTCCTCAGACAGAGAGAGAGAGAGTTCCAAGTTTCACTTGAGTCGTAATAGATCCGCTTTACATTTTACTTAAAATCGTAGACACGGGTCTGGCCTTTGCAGGCGTCAGCAAGCATTGACATGAAATTCTTCTTTTCATTTTGGGGAAGGGAGTTATTACACATCCACAGGGAACAGAGTCTACCTAATCTAAGCACCACGGACAGAGCAAGGTATATGAAAATTAACAACAGAACAAATCGAAATTAAAAAACTCCAAGATCGAGATTCGAAGGAAATGAACAGTGTGGATAATTCCAGAAACAAATGAATAGAATCACAAATGAGCAGGTGCGTTTCCAGAATTTAATTACTGAAGATTCATTCAATAAAATGCCACAGAGTTACTGAAAATACAGTTTTGCAGTTCTAATGGCTATGAAGAATGAGGTGTGTGATATGAAGGAAAGAGGAGATGATAGGAATATTATGAGGTGAAGAGGATAGATAACGATTGCCCATTGATTTGAAGAAGTCAAGATTGTAGTGTTTCAGGAAATATTAACAGAACTCAACTGAAAATTTAGCCATTGAAATAGCGATAGACTCAAGAATTTGTGTCTGTGGAGCAAGAGACTGCAGAGTGGAAAATAGGTGTCCCCCTCCTAAGACAATGTCAACAATATTTCCGATAACAAAAGTCGAATCAATATATTTGATCTAATGACAATGTTGTAAAAATATAAACTTATAGTAGATCAGGTACTTTCTGGTGTGATATAACGTGGTAAAAGCTCCACAAGAGCTAGAGTCAGCTTGGGTCCCAATAAGCGCTCAAAACATTCGAGTGAGTAGGGATAACTTAAGGTTTGAGCAGGGAGAATGAAACTATTTTACCGTGGGTTTTTTTTGTGGGGGGTATTGAATATTACAAGTTTTTAGGGGTGCAAAATTAATTTCGTGTTGAAATTAGTTCTGAGTTGAAATTAGTTCCATGTTAAAATTAGTTCCGCGTTGAAATTAATTCCGAGGTGAAATTAGTTCCGTGTTGAAATTAGTTCCAAGTTGAAATTACATCCGAGGTGAAATTAATTTCGAGTTGAAATTAGTTCCGAGTTAAAATTAGTTCCATGTTAAAATTAGTTCCGCGTTAAAATTAATTTCGAGTTGAAATTAGTTTCTGAGTTGAAATTAGTTCCATGTTAAAATTAGTTCCGCGTTGAAATTAATTCCGAGGTGAAATTAGTTCCGTGTTGAAATTAGTTCCGAAGTGAAATTATTTCCGAGAGGAAATTATTTCCGAGTTGAAATTAGTTCCGTGTTGAAATTAGTTCCATGTTGAAATTACATCCGAGGTGAAATTAATTTCGAGTTGAAATTAGTTCCGAGTTGAAATTCGTTCCATGTTAAAATTAGTTCCGTGTTGAAATTAATTTCGAGTTGAAATTAGTTCTGAGTTGAAATTCGTTCCATGTTAAAATTAGTTCCGAGTTAAAATTAGTTCCATGTTAAAATTAGTTCCGCATTGAAATTAGTTCCGAGGTTGAGTTGTTGAAATTTGTTCTGAAATTATTTCAAAATTAATTCCGTTGAAATTAGTTCCGTGTTCAGAAATTAATTCCGGTGAATTAGTTAATTGTGTTGAAATTAGTTCTGTTTGAGTTCATTTGAGTTCTTGGCGTGAGGTTAGTAGAGACATCA